ATCCATCCATCCATCCATCCATCCATCCATCCATCCATCCATCCATCCATCCATCCATCCATCCATCCATCCATCCATCCATCCATCCTACAGTTACTAGGCAGTTCAGCTACATACCTCATGTGGGATTTGATGTCCAGTAGCTCCAGCGCAGTGACCCGTGGCTCTCCAGCAATGTTCTGCAGGATCTTGAGTCGAGGGCCACAGTGTTTATAAAACTCTGTGCAAATGTTTAACAGGGACTCTCGTGGCCGGCGGAACTCCTCCCTGGCGAGACGCTCGTCCAGCTCCTCCCTCGGCATGCCCTGACCCTCCTCCAGAAGGTGGAGATTGTCCCTGTGAACAAAAAGCTTCATTATAGTTTGTTCTTTTTTTTCTCTGCCTGTTAAGATTTTATTTGTAGCAATACAAAATACCATCCCACCTGGTGTTGACGCCTCCGGACATAGCGTGGTTGGCTGTTGTGCCTCCCTTGTGGCCTTGGTCGCAGCGGGACATCTGTGGGGCGGTCATTGGCCTGTAGATGGAAAATTAAGCATTTAAAGCCACGGCAAAATTCCAACTGGGACTTTTAACAGCTGGAAACCAGACCTGGTGAGAGCCTCAGAGCTGTAGAGCAAAGCCTGTAGGGATGTGGCCATTGAAGCAATCGCTGCTATTTCGTCCCTGGCGGCAGAGGCGGACTCCATTGTTGCAGTGTTGCTCTTAAGCTTCTGAAGGAAGCAGGGAACCAAAGCTTCCAGCACCATAAGCATCTGAAGACTAATGAAAGACCTGAATCAGGACCTGTTTGTTGTAGCAAAAAAAGTTAAGGAAAACAAAGGGAGTTCTGCTTTACCTCCTGAAGGATTCTGGCGCATAGGCGACAACAGTTACACATAACTTGATGGCCTCACTGATGGAAAAGGCTAAGTCTTCATTACCGTAGCAAAAATCTGTGAAGGAAAAAAACAAGTCTGTCTGACATCACTGATGAAAGCATCCTGGGAAGGGCTGGCCAGGGTTTTTATGTAAAGACTTCTAATTTGTTAAGGCTGAACCTTTCAGAATTTATACTTGTTATCATATGTTATCCATTTTTATACCGGCCGCATTAAACACTGACTGAATAAACAAAAAATATTTTCTTACAAAAAAATTAAACTACACATATTTATAAAACATAACAAAACAGGAAACTATTAGGTTCATGAACGAATCAAGATAAATACAATATGTGAAACACTTCTGATCTCCAATGTAAAATGGATAGCAAAAAAATGTAGTCTAATAAAGCATTAAATTGATGATGAAATGTGTAACGTTGTCAGGGTGAGTTGACACTAACTAATTTTTTTATAAAGGATAAATCATCATCTTTACAGTGATATTTATTAAAACAAGGATGTCTTGTTTATGTATAGTAATTTACATAATTATCCACTATGAGAAACATCTGGTTTATGGAAACTGGGGGGGAGGGGACATGATTTATGTGTAGATTGTTGACGGGGTGTGGTGTATAGGTAATGCTGGCAGCGCGGGTCAGGCCAGGTGGTGAACTGCGCTCCTCCAATTAGCGTGAAGCGGGGAAAACTGATAGATCATCTCTTCACCGGTGTTTCTCAGCAAAGAAGTTTAAGTTTTGGTTGACAGGAGTGATCGGGAGGACTCCTGAAGGATATGTGGCTGGTGATGACAGATGAGCGGAATGAGACTTATGCCTTATTAATTGGACTGCTGCGGCAGATTTTAATTTGGACCCCAACGGTTTTGATTTTTGAACTTTTTCTTATTTTTGTGCGGGAAACTGACTGAATACGCGGAGCTACCAGAGTTATTTAGCTGTGGACGCCCTATTTTTTGTATTTTGTTTGGGGGGGAACGCTATTTTTGAGAGGCCGTTGTTCTTTTCAGAATTTGGACATTACGGGATTAATTTGATCGGGTGGTTTTGAATTGAATAATAATGAGGCATAAAGACCATATGATTGTTTGTTTGTTGTTTTTTGTATTAAATTATGTAGCTTTTCTACAGCTGACACTAAATAACAAAACTCCCCAAAAGACCCCCTTTGTTTTTGTGTAATATTGCCGTTAACCTCTTAATATCCACCTCATTTTGGGAAATTCTCACCTATTTTGCATATCCGAATGGAAAAGCAAATAACTTAGGAACTGTGAGCCCAAATTACATGTGTGATACATTATTTGAAAGCTAACACCCTCTAGTTTCTGAATATATACATGAAAAGTGGGTGAGTAAAACACCCAAGCTGCATCAGAGTTGTTTTTTTTAATTCTCGAACAGCAGTTATAAAGACATGCTTGCTTGTTGTGGCTGATTTGTCATGGTACATTTTGACATGCTGCTATATCTGTGTTAATTGTAAGGGTGACAGTGGCGTTTGATGTAGGAGTTTGCCCTGAAATTGAAGGGTTGCCGGTTCAAGCCCCGACTCCGGCTTTCAGTGTCGTTGTGTCCCTGGGCAAGACACTTCATTCATTGCATTGTCTACTGATGGTGGTCAGAGGGCCCGGTGGCGCCAGTGTACGGCAGCCCCGCTTCTGTCAGTGAGCCCCAGGGCAGCTGTGGCTACAATGTAACCATCAGTGTATGAATGGGTAAATGAATGTAGTGTAAAGCGCTTTGGTCAAGTCTCCTAACTTGAGTAAAGGTGCTATATAAGTACATCCCATTTACCATTTAATTGTGCTTTGTGGCTCGCTACGTCCAATAAAATGGACTATGTGGTTGAATTGTGGAGAAATTTCCAACGATGTCTAACATGTCTATATCGGTTAAGATTTTACCAGTGTAATTTTCATTGCACTGGTCATTGAGTTATTATTTGTAAACGCTTTAAAATGGGGTTTTGAGAGGTTAAAGGTGTTCAATGTTCCATCTTACTGTTCTATGTGTCAAAAGTGTGAGTTTACCAAGAGAACGGAGAGGTTTCTCTGCCTTAACCAGCTCCAAAGCATCCAGGGCATCCTGGGTCTCCCCCTCCAACGACACCAGCAGGTCAAAGAGACACTGGGCCGACACTCCTTTTGATAAACCAGTGCTGGTGCTGGTCTGAGAGATCAATCAGAAGATCAGAGCTAGAAGAAATCACAGGCGGCAATTTTCTGATAAGTTCTTCTGGCTGTTCAGTGAAAGCCTCACAGTGAATTCCAGCAGTGGAGCAACACTTGCAAACAGCTGGAGGATGAAGGGCTTTCGGTGAAGGATGTAGAACTGCCGGCAGCAAAACTCAATGCCCTGTCGCAGCAAAGGGTTGCTCTCATAGTCGGCATAGACCTGTAAAAACACCACAAAGACAACAAAGCATTTATTTCTAAACCATATATTTGGTTCTGCATGCTCTAAAGCATCCTAACTGTACTGAACTTCTGCAATTACGCTTTTACAAAGGAAGCAAAAAGGATGGAAGTTCACCTTACTTTGCATTAGGGCAAAGTGTGGGCAATGCTAATACACAAATAACCTTTGACCTGAACCGTCTCACAGTAGTTATGGTTGTTCAGTGTCCTAGGAAAGCACTTCTATATCCCTAACCACCTGGGCCAGTTCCTCCTGAAGAATCCCAAGTCGTTCCCTGGCTAGCCATGAATAGACCCTCATGGTTTGGGTCCTCTTCCTGTGGTAGGTGCCCGGAAAAACTCACCAGGGAGTCGTCCAGGAGGCATCCTAACCAGATGCCAGAGCCACTGCCAGTAGCTCCTCTTGACGTGGAGAAGTAGCGGCTCTACTCTTATTCAATCCTCAGATCATTGAGCTTCTCTTCCAATCTGTAAGGTCCAGACACCTTGTGGCGAAAACTATTTTTAACCAACTAGTATCCGCAATGTCATTCTTTCAGTCATCACCTAAAACTTATGACTGTAGAAAAGGGTTGAAACAAAGAGTAGTCGATAAACCGACACACTGATACAGCACCCCCTTCACTGTAGACACACCAATCTGCCTATCAATCTCACTCTCCCTCCCATAGACACTAAATACTTAAACTCCTCCACCCAGGGGCAGGATAGCGTCCCCGACCAAGAAAGGGAACCCTACCCTTTTCTGTGTCAAGACCATGCCCTCGGCTTTGGAGGCACTAATGCTCATAAGGGCTGACTCACAATCAGTTGAACTGATCTAAATAGGTGGTGTTGTAGATCATGGCCTGAAGAAGCCAACAGGCCCATGTCACCATTTCTAAATCCACCATAATGGATCCTCTTAATACCTTGTGCCTAAATATTCTGTCCATAAATATGAATAGAACTGGTGACAAAGGCGAACCTTGGTGGAGTCCAATTTTCACCGGAAAAAGGACTGACTTACTGCTGGCAAATGCAAAGAAGTAGAGGTGTACAGTAAGATCTACATTCGAACACCAAAGCAGCAATAGAAACCCAAAGAGACTAACTTTTGTATTGGATTAGGGCAGTAGTGGAGCAACACTACCGCCCGAACAATCTATTACAACATTCTGACATTGTTTGGTCCAGTCTTCACTTTTTGCATGGTGAAAGCAAACAGGGCCACCTTCCCTGGATCAGAAAAGCAGGGTAAATGCATACCAGTGTTAAGCTCTTTATTTAGTTTAGGCTTCTGAATCTGACTTAAGGTTGCATAAATCCCAGACATTGCAAATGATCAGAGTTGGGGCATTACTGTCCAACAATTAGGCACAGCTTCATTCACTCCTTCAAATCAAGAATATTATCCACAGATCTGGATTTATTGTACCTGAAGCATAGTAGGAAGGATCCACTGGTATCCGCTCAGTGAGAAGAGGTGGTTAAAGTGGACGGCTGTGTTTATGGCGGTGGCCGTGTACTGCCTAAGGAGGGAGCTGTCCTCCGGGTGAAGCAGCAATGCTCCGTTGAAGACGTTGAGGAACAGCATCATCTCGTCCCCCCAAGGGTACTCGCTGGGCATGCCGAGGAACATCTCCTCCAGGAGCTTAATCCAAAGCACTTTGTGGAGAGTGTCCAGACCAAACAGCTCCTTACCTGTTGGGGACAAGGAAATAGTGGTGAGGTTACCGTATTTATGTCTGGTGTTCACTTGCACAATGACAGAACCAGTATTTTACCTTGTGGCTCGTTGAAGAGGGAGAACTCTGCATCAATAGCAGTTCGAGGGAAGGAAGGAAGTCTCAGCAGGTCTTCTTGCAGCAGGGAGACGTGGGACTGCTTGTGTACCGCTGGCATGTGTTGGGTAAGAGATATCAGGAAGAGGACCCGACCAACCTCCTCCATTTTACGGGTGAACACCTGAGTAGGTGCATTGAGGATGCTTTTATCCTTTCAGGATGAAAATTTGTTCAGTGAAGAATTTTCAGACGTAAACTGTTACCTGTTTCTGGATAAGTTCTTGTCCTTTCTCGGGCAGCATGTGGACTAGGTTAAGTTGAGGAGAAACTGACCTCCGGAAGGGATAGATGTCTCTGACATAAGTCTGGGGAATAAAAAGGGAGTCAGTGCAAAATGTAAAGCATCCGTTTCATGGCAACCACAAAAGAGGCTTCAATCAGAGGCAACCAGAATGTCCCTCAGTTTTTCTGAAAATGTTTCATTACCTATCCCTGAGTCAACTGTCAATTCTGGCAGCTTGCACCAAAGCAATCTGTAGTTGGAATATCTGTGCTTTTAAACATCGTCCCCCTAAGCACATTCCAAGTCAGATGCAAATCAAAGACCCAGCCATCATTCGCCGTGGTCGTTTGTGGCTGCGTTTTTGTATGGGTTTTGTGTTTGGCCATTTAATTAATGAAATGTGGAGTTGTATGAGGTCTATGGAGTGAGCTTTAAACAGAATTGTAAATGCTTGGAAGCTGAAACTGCATTTCTTTCCCTGTGTTCATTGATTCTTTTTGAACAAAGATGGCTTCCTTTATCTCCTTTCAAACAGTCTGTCCTCCATCCAATTCTGAACATTCTGCTATCTAAAGCCATGTCATTTGTATTTGAGGTGAAAGTGTACATCTAAATCTCGCCCGGAGCTGTTGTTTGCTTGTCCTCCGTGGTAGGAAGACTGCATTAGGGAGGTTTTTAGATGCAAAAGCTGCTGCTAGAATCTTTTTTTTTTTTTTTTTTAACAAAGTTGCTTTACTTTAATAAAGATTGAGGACTTTTGTGTCTACACAAGTCAGTAAGACTTTCAAAACTGTAGCCTGAGATCTGAACTTTGACTTCTCAAAGTCAGACACGGTCAGTGCCCACCACGGGATTGTTCCAGTCCAGGGTTATCATATTGGTCTTTGACCAAACTTGGCCTTATGTTTGGCTCTATTATACTTCGGCAAACAGAATTGCTCATATTTGAGCTATGTGTGCAAGAAGCTTGGCCATGCTTGCTGGCATGCAAACTGCTGGTTTCCTCGAAGATGTATAACCTTCAGCTTTGCAATATTACAAACCTGACCAATGGAATTGTTTTCCACAAGTATTTTAGTTTTTTTGATCCTGATGGGTTCTTCCTCCCATCTCCCTACCTATTCCCATTTCATACCTCCTCCCTTATTCCCTACTCCTTCTCTCCCTTCCTTCCCCATTCCAATTATTCCCATGCAGGTTTTCTTTTTAAACCTCAAATCGTCCCCTGCAAGGACATGGTGAGAGATACACTTTTTATCGTCATCTACCCTCTATATTTGCAATCCTTATCCTTAACCTAAGGGCAGCACCTTTTAATAGCTGCAACCTCAGGCACCTGGCTATGTATGCTTTTGTATTGTGTCTCTTGAATGGGCTGTAGTGGAACAAATTTTATTGTGCACTGTACAATGAAAATAAGGGATTTCTGATTATGATTCTGATATATTGCAGGGTTGGAGGTTCTATTCAGAAACCTTACATAACCATTCTGGTATCGTAGACATGATTATGGTTGACCTGCAGTATTATTAAGTAACTTTGCTCTATTGAATCTAGCTAGCCTGGGAAAACCAGGTACTTGAAATAAAGCTGCTCTATTAACAAAATAACTGTTTCCTTTTCGGCAATAAAGATATGGTCAACTAATTTAATTTTCTGACCATTTATTTAAATGGGGGCAAAATATAATGGCTTTCACAATTTTTTATGTCAATAAAAGTTCTGTTTTTCTATCATGTTTTAGAAAAAAATCTGATAATTTAGTGAAATATATCTGTAATAAAATCAGGTAAGAGAGACGTTGAAAAGGTTTATTTTTAATAAATGATTGTTCAGTTAAGGTAAGGCAGGGATAGAGTTTTCTATCGTGTAAAAGGCACAAAAAAGAACATTTAATGAAAAGCTTAGTAAAGACTCGCATGTAGTTCAACCTTCATAAATAATCGTGGAATAGATATGGATTAAAAATATATTTATAGGTTTTTATTTTCAAGTTTATACACATTTTTGCTAATATTCATTTAACCCTGTGTTATCATCAGCAGGACCTGTCTGCCAACAACTGTCCTTGGAGATGTGACCACATTGCGACCAATACCTCAGATCTCCATGAAGTTTTTATTTTAAGATTGCTTTTAGCAGGCTTGGCCTTTATTTGACAGTGAGCTGAAAGCAAGAGAGCCAAGAAGACATGTTGCAAAGGTCAGCAGTACTAACTCTGATCCTGCTGATATTTCAAACTCCAGCCAAAAACTATTAGCATTTTAGCTTATTTTGTATAGACTAACAATAAAATTAAGTCATTTGAACCTTTATCTTGAGTTTCATCTTTACTTTACACAAAGTGATAGAGGGTGAATGTTAATCTCTCTAAAAGCTGTCTTAGCTAAAGATAACTTCAGCTTTGAAATATAAACACCTGCCGTTTATTGTTTGCAAGCAAAATTTCTCACATGAGTTCTAGAAGATAGAGCCTCTGATCAGGTTTCCATGTCAGGGGACCTATTATAGGACAGTCTTTCACAAATAATCTCATGAATGCCTATTTACTCTAGATCAGATTAAATATTGGCATTTTGCAGTCTGCCGATGCTATATTAATCAAGATATATGATTTATTACGTATGATGATTAGTGAGAGTGTTAGAGAGAGATGTAGAAAATGTTAACTGTGTACTCTATGTTAGATGCAAGATGGCCTATGAATTTCTGTTACCTTATTTGTATATTCTGTGGTTTGGGGGGTTGTATGCAGGAAGCTACAGCTTTAAGGGCGAATTATACTTCTGCAACCGCACACATCGCAAACCAGTTTTGCTGGTATACTTCTGCATCGTCAGTCTGGAATTTTCTAGGGATGCACAGCAGTTTCCCGCCAAAGCGCTAGGGGGAGTCTATTCGAGAACTCGCGAGAACTTCGGCGGATGGTCAAGAGAACTTCTTCGGCGGCACCGGCAGGAGTGTTTATTTTCCGAAACAACATATCTGAGGCATCCTACAAGTGGTTGAACTTCCGAACCTCCTCGATCCACCTTTGGTTGTGCACAGAGACAGATTTGACGGTTGCAGAGGCTATGCATCAGAAGTATGTATTGTCCTTTAGACTTTTTAGCCAGATTGATCCTGAGAGGGCACAGTTTTAAGCCGGGCATACACTGTGCAATATTTTCAATGGTTGTACGCATCCACAGCTCAAACTGTAAGACGAAACCGCAGGGTTTAACAGTTCCCAAAGAAAGTTAATCTGAGTTCTACCTTGTTGTAGTGAATGAGGTTCCATCTTTTGTCCATCAGGAAGTAGTGAGCAGATCTTGCTTCGGGAATGTTGAAGAATTCAAGGCACTCCTGGTGAGACGAAGAAACCACAAAGTTAAATGAACTGGAGAATTGTTCATCAGCATTTTCTAAACAGTTTTCTACACCCATTTCTAAAAGAGGGCAAATAGTTAATGAATAAAATTATTCTCGACCCATAGTGCAACTCTTACAGACACATTGTGCAACCATTTCATTGTTGTAAACATCTTTATGCTGGACTATGCTACAAGCACATGGCTAGTTTGGTGACTATCTTTGCCTAATAAGAATAAAACATCCATAAAAATAATCAGTTTGGTCTTTACCTTTAATAGGGCATCAAACTGGGTGTCTTCATGGACTGGCAGCTGAGTTGGGATGTCACACTCATTCTGGCCGTGTACCACAAGGGTTTTGGTTCCTAAAGCGACCCCATCACAAAATAGATCATCATAAACCAGATGTTTTGAATCGCCAAAGAGTTTAAACGTCAGTGTGCTGACCTGGCATGGACGCAGTGACGAGCAGTTTGACCTCACACTGCTCTTTCTTCATGGTCTGCTTTAGGTCTTTGAAGAACAGCCCCTCCACGTACCCCACCACCTCCCACAGGAAGGTCAGCGTGGCAGAGATGGCGTCCATACCCCACTCGCAAGGAGTGCGCACAAAATACATGATCAGCCCCACCTGGAAGAAGAAGTCTGGTTCAGAAAAAGTTTTTTTTTTAATATAATATTTATCAGAGTTTGGATATTATTTTATGTTTTACCAGGTAGTTAAAGAGGATGTGAGAAGTCTGCGCAGGTAGATCCCCGATGTTTAGCAGCAGCTTCCTCAACATGTAGATCAGCTCGTCCTGGAGTAAAACCACAAAACAAGGACATCTTGTAAAGTAAGTTTAGTTTCAATTATTGATAAGAGAAAACCGCTCCTGATTCATAAGCTGCATTCACTCCAAACAAGAATACATTCAATTTTACATGTGGTCCAGCTTGACTTGGTCGCTTGACATTCCACCGCTCACCTACATTAAACCTGCACTGATAATGCAGATAACATGGTTGTCATGGTTTTGGTTCTGTTTAAGTTTTCTTTCTGAGTTTTNTCAACCCGCCTCAAAGCCAACGCTGATTGGACGTTCGTTTGGTGAATGGCTCCAAATTTTCTTTAATGGAGAGTCTCCAGACTGATTTGCGAGAAAAACCTTGAAAGCTTGCGAGATCAGGATGGTCTCACCAGGCTAGTTGTATGCAGGCAGCTACAGCTTTAAGGGCGAATTATACTTCTGCAACCGCACACATCAAATGTCGTTTGCGTCTGGTCGCGAACCAGTTTTGATGGTACACTTCTGCATCATTGGTCTGGAATTTTCTAGGGATTCACAGCAGTTTCCTGCCAAAGCGCTAGGGGGAGCGTATTCAAGAACTTGCGAGAACTTCGGCAGATGGTCAAGAGAACTTCTTCGGCGGCGCCGGCAGGAGTGTTTATTTTCCGAAACAACATATCTGAGGCATCCTACAAGTGGTTGAACTTCCGAACCTCCTCGATCCACCTTTGGTCGTGCACAAAGACAGATATGACGGTTGCAGAGGCTATGCGTCAGAAGTACAAATTGTCCTTTAGACTTTGGGGAGCCAGATTAATCCTGAGATGGCGCAGTTTTAAGCTGGGCATACACTGTGCAATATTTTCAATCGTTGCACGCATCCACAGCTCAAACTGTAAGACGAAACCGCAGGGTTTACCTTGTTGTAGTGAATGAGGTTCCATCTTTTGTCCATCAGGAAGTAGTGAGCAGATCTTGCTTCGGGAATGTTGAAGAATTCAAGGCACTCCTGGTGAAACGAAGAAACCGCAAAGTTAAATTAACTGGAGAATAGTTCATCAGCATTTTCTAAACAGTTTTCTACACCCATTTCTAAAAGAGGGCAAATAGTTAATGAATAAAATTATTCTCGACCCAAAGTGCAACTCTTACAGACACATTGTGCAACCATTTCATTGTTGTAAACATCTTTATGCTGGACTATGCTACAAGCACATGGCTAGTTTGGTGACTATCTTTGCCTAATAAGAATAAAACATCCATAAAAATAATCAGTTTGGTCTTTACCTTTAATAGGGCATCAAACTGGGTGTCTTCATGGACTGGCAGCTGAGTTGGGATGTCACACTCATTCTGGCCGTGTACCACAAGGGTTTTGGTTCCTAAAGCGACCCCATCACAAAATAGATCATCATAAACCAGATGTTTTGAATCGCCAAAGAGTTTAAACGTCAGTGTGCTGACCTGGCATGGACGCAGTGACGAGCAGTTTGACCTCACACTGCTCTTTCTTCATGGTCTGCTTTAGGTCTTTGAAGAACAGCCCCTCCACGTACCCCACCACCTCCCACAGGAAGGTCAGCGTGGCAGAGATGGCGTCCATACCCCACTCGCAAGGAGTGCGCACAAAATACATGATCAGCCCCACCTGGAAGAAGAAGTCTGGTTCAGAAAAAGTTTTTTTTTTAATATAATATTTATCAGAGTTTGGATATTATTTTATGTTTTACCAGGTAGTTAAAGAGGATGTGAGAAGTCTGCGCAGGTAGATCCCCGATGTTTAGCAGCAGCTTCCTCAACATGTAGATCAGCTCATCCTGGAGTAAAACCACAAAACAAGGACATCTTGTAAAGTAAGTTTAGTTTCAATTATTGATAAGAGAAAACCGCTCCTGATTCATAAGCTGCATTCACTCCAAACAAGAATACAGTCAATTTTACATGTGGTCCAGCTTGACTTGGTCGCTTGACATTCCACCGCTCACCTACATTAAACCTGCACTGATAATGCAGATAACATGGTTGTCATGGTTTTGGTTCTGTTTAAGTTTTCTTTCTGAGTTTTTATTGGTTTTCTTTCCATATTGTGTTTTCCAGTTGTTTTTGGTTGTATTTGAGTTCTTGTTTACCCTCTGTTGCCCTCTTGTGTCAGTAGTGATGTTATGAGATGAGGTGTCGGGTAATGGAGGGGGTGTTTCCAGGAAGCGCGTGTCAAGATGAGATTCATTTAGGGGAGGGGCCAAAATTGATGATGTCCAAAGCCTCGCTACCCTGAGTTTTTTTTACAAATTTGTAAAAAGAGCAACCGATTAAACTGAATGTTACAAAGTTGACACTATTATATTAGCTGTTTTTACCGAGAAATAATCAGTAGCAACTTGAAAATGTTCAGACCCGCCTCTCTGGCTGCAATGCGCGCACCCGACAGGGGGAACAGAAGCAGAATTTCGCACAAGACCGGTTCAGCCTCGGAGTTTATACCCACCCTTTCCGGTTGAATTCCTGAAATTATAATTTGTTTTGGGACTTGTAAAAGTGTTTCAAATGTTTTTTATTTGTTTTCTTAAAATGCTATTTGTTTTGAATTTTTAAAAGTGTTTTATTTATTTTTATTTTTATTCTTTAAATGTAAATTAGTTTTCTGAAATGATAATTTGTTTTGGAACTTGTAAAAGTTTTTTTAGATTTTGTAATGTTGGTTTGCACCTTCCGGCCACCGTGTCAGAACCATAATGAACCATATCTGGAGTTTAAATTAGCTGTGCATCTTGATAAAAAAAAAGGAAATATCTTAAAACGTGTGGTTTAACTATTGTCATCAGCAATCATCACCATTAGCATTTAGCTTTTTTGCTACGATTATGTTATAAGAAATAAAGCTTTACATTTTTTGCTGTCGATTGTTAATTTTTGTCTCAAAATGCTCTCCCACCTGTCTGTTGCTCACTGTGAGTTTCTCCAGGAAGTGGCGGAGAACCAGAGCGGGATCTTCAATAAGGCAGTTCCAGAGGATTTGCTGTGCGACGGCGCTCACTAAAGAAAAGTAACAGTAAATGTTAAGCAGGGAATCAACAGTCAAGAATTTTTTTTAATAAAACATGAAATAAAATTTGTTCCACTATTGTTGCAATAAAAAAAAAAATCCTTCCTGAACCAAAGCTTTGTAAATCGTTTTAATCAAACAATAGGTTTTGACACCATCCTAGAGAGAAATATCAGCTGTGCTGCTGCCATTAACACATTTGTTTATAGATGTTGGAGATTGGCCTGTTTTTCAGTGTAGTCCTGTTTCTCTGACTGTGACTTCATCCTCTGATTTGGGAGTTGACTCTGAGCTTGTCTTCCTGGCTGTGTGTTTCCTGGACGGGGCCGCCTTTTACAGTTGCCTTTATCTCTGCTTCTGTCTCTTTGAACCCCAGTCGGCCTCGGCAGATGGCCGCTCACACTGAGCCTGGTTCTGCCTGAGGTTTCTTCCTGTTAAAAGGAAGTTTTTCCTCTCCACTGTCACTACAAGCATGCTTAGTGTGAGGGATTGTATTTGAGGCCAATTAGTCGATGCAATCAACTGGTTTTCCTTAGACAGAAAACTTTGAATCAATTTAACTGTATGATCTGGTGAACTGTAAAGTGCCTTGAGATGACATTTGTTGTGAATTGGCGCTATAGAAATAAACTGAATTTAATTTCATTAATATACAGACTATTATATCCTTTACTTCAAATCTGAACCTTAACTACTGCTACTAGCTACTAGACTATTTCTTGTTTTCTGGCGTTTACTATTGTAGTTAAAGAATATATATGATCAATGCCGGCATTTAGAGAGAGAGTACTTTTCCTTCCCTTCTGGGGTGGTCTGTAAAATGCTATTCGAAAAAAGAAATATGGGGACAAAAACAAAAGGAAAGTTACTTTCAAAACCTTTTTTTATTATTAAAATGCTCAAAGTTTAATTTCTGGATTGTATTCCTTTTTTCAAATTCCAATTTACAAAAGTCGTTTTTTGCATCAATGATGGGAGGAAACTCCTTCCATACCTTTCTTCTTCACAATACAAAACAAAAATAGGCTCTGATATGCTATAGTTTCTCCTATTTTAAAGACCCAGTGTATAAGGTTCACTGCCATCTAGTGGTGCACTACATGAACTGCAGTCGACCAAGAACTGCATTCTGGTTCAAAAAGCTGCAAAGTTTCTGTAGAACAGAAAAAATTCTAGTTTTAGACCTACCAGCCACACCATCCTCTCTGACTTCTCCATCTTCCATGAGGTGGACTATTGGTAACACTGCGGCACAGATGCATGCTGGGAAGACAGCTTGAGGCGGTTGAAGCATGTGGTGAGTAGGAGTGTGGTCTGTTGTGTTTTCTTCATCTGTTTAAATGACAAACCACTAAAGGTTATCAGATTTTCTTTAATATTTAGCAGACATGATCATGAATTCATTGCAGACATTTTAGCAGTGGCAGGATTTACACCTGGGACCTGAAAACCGCCAGAGATAGAAGCAAAGTAAGGATTTAAAAGAAGGAAGGGAAAACGGTAGGACGCAAGGAAGCAGGAAACAAATACATGAAGTAGCAAGGACACAAGCAAAAGAGGAAGGATACAAGAAAGGAAGGGAAAGAAGACTAAATGTTTTTTTTTTTTTTATCTTCATACCTTCTGCACTCGCCATGGAGCGGACGGACCAGACCGAACCTCGGCGAAACGAGTAATTCCTGTGAGAGTTACTGGAAGCGCAGGACGGGCTGACGGAAAGACGGCGGGCTGTGAGGTTCACCACTTCTTCTGCTGGCGGGATCAATGTGGAAAAACAACAGGCAGTCAGAGAGCCGACCTTTAAATCCACCACCTGTGCAGCCGGCAGCTACCACCTTCTTCCTCCTGTTCTGGTGGAGGGCTGCAGGTGGGCTCATAGCAGGCCTCCTGAGCCACCGGGATGGCTGTGATGATGCTAGCCTCGCGGCCTAGGCGCCGCTTTTCCTCCTCTTGCTGCAGATTCTTCAGGATGTGCTCGGCTCGCTGGTGGGAGCGCGACACGGCTCGCGCGGAAAAGGATTTCTAAACAGAAAACAGCCCCAAGTAGGTTCAAACCGTTCTGGAAAGCAGGCACAGCTGTTGTAAGAAATGTTTCTTTTTCTTTTATATGACTGGAGGAGACAGGACAGTAACTCCCCTCCAGAACACTGGCCTCAGACCCATCCTGAACAAAAAAAAGCATTGAACAAAGTTTAGGGAAGCACCAAACTGTCAATTCCCCGCACTTTAAAATCCTCTAACAGTCACTGAACGCACCATAGCTAAATGGCTAACTTAAGCCATATAGCTGAACATTCGTTGTAGGCCATCTTGACTTTTGAAGTTATAATCAGATTTTATTCTGTAATTTTTATTAAAAAAATCTAAATAAATAAAATTTGATTAATCTAACATTAATATCCTCTTCTATTTTATTAATCTTCCTTTTGTTTCTAAATACAGTTACCGCCATGTGGAATGGCGGGATGGTGTGTTCAGGGCTGTATGCGTTAGTTTCAACCCAAAAATAGTATTTGTTCAGCTTTGGCCTGAACTGCCAGGGCGGAGATTTTGAAAAACCATCTCTAGTAAAGGTCACAGCTACAACTTTTTTAATCCAAATAGGTCATTTAAAATAATAAAAATAATACACCCACAGTGCATCAAGTGTGGTGCAGGATAAAAGTGTTGATTTTAGTGAAAGTATATAAATAACTGTTTAATATATTTTGATGGGTCCAAAATATATAAATGTTTACTTCTGGTTAAGATGCCAAGAAAGGATTCGGTACCAATAGGAATGCTGAGTTGAAGTCGGATTCAAGTAAAACAAGCTAGAGGCAAAAGAAGCGGGAAAATCGGTCAAGGTTTTTTATAGCATTGGTGCCGACTTAAAGGGATCCATTTTCAAATTAGTAAAGATATCGTAAGGTGATTAATTTTCAAAAATTTAAATATGTTTTAAATAATATGTTGTTACACAGATGTCACCATGTTGCTGCAATGCATTCTGGTTAAATGATGTATGCTAGCTCCTGTAGCGCTAGCTCCATTTTGTCAAAGCAGAATTAGTAACGTTAAACCTTTTCAGTTTGAACTGGAATACATTGAAACTGATAACATTATAAAGATTGAGGAAGACCAAACTAAGGAAGTTACCCGAAGAAGCTGGTGTTTGTGTGGATGCTGCTAGGTGCTAAGAGATGCTTAAGCCGGGCTTGCACTGCGATTTTTTGCCCTTTTTGGGGCGACTTTCCAGTCGTGCGAGAATTTTCCAATCCGCCCGACTTTCAGTCTGATCGTGCGTCGTGTAGTGTACAGGTGGTAATGAGGGGCGATCAGCCTCTCACGACCAACTCCTGATTAGGAATCGTAAGGTCGGAAGAAAATTGTTCAGTGGGCATGCGCAAACAAGGGAAGTTCGTTCTGTAAAATTGACATACCATAGTAGCCAGGTTTGCTCAGCCATGTATTTGTCCAAATACGTTATCGCCTTTTCTTTTTAGGGCTTTCAGCACAAAATTGCACAAATTGCCAAGGCATCGCGTTTCTCTCTAGTGAGCTTCATATTCCTCTTCTACTCATTTGGCTTCCGGATAGACGAGTCAGAGTAGCTCCATCTCACTGCGGAGCTAAGTCCCACGTCGTTTTTAGACGTAGAGTTTGATCAGAGAGATCGCATCAGAGCGTCGTGTTGCACATACATCGTTAACTGTGAACTCAAACTGTTGGACGAAACCGCAGGGTTTTGTCGTACAGCGTGAACTGTAGCTGCGTGCAACGATTGAAAAAATCGCACAGTGTATGCCCGGCTTTACCCAGATATGGAGCTATGTTACAAAGAGCCCCAGTTTCCAACTGAGACTCTTGACGGTTAGCATTGGGAAAATTTTTCACGAATGGAGAGGCTTCATTGTCACCGTAAACATTATCTTCCGATTTGATTCTTATGTTAGCTTCTGCTAATTGTGTTAGGTATAGCTAATATAGTAAACAGTAGATCACAAATTGATCACATTTGTTTACTTCAACAAATATCTCATATATAGCTCATGAAAACTTTGGGGCGGTGATGCAATGTCTATATTTATACCTTGCAAATGCGTTAAAAAACAACTCTGGTAATGTTAGCTGTCCTGTTGTTCGTAGGTTTTCTTTAAGTAACACCTAACTCATTCATTAACCCAGCAGGCATTGTGCAGGCGAAAAAGATGGTGACCTCTATGAGTGGAAAATATAACATGGAATTTTAATTTTGAAGTAGTGATGTGTTTTTTACACGTCACAAGCTGCAATTTTTAAGCTAACAGAAAAATGATAACGTATTTAGGCTGAGATATTCAATGAATCGTGGATCCTTTTGAGTGAGCAAAAAAAAAAAGGCAAGTAAATGTATGGTTGGGTTAGTATTAGCATTAAGGGACCTACCCACCGGCAAACAGAACGGAAACAGAGTGGGTGAGCTTGAGAACGCCACCTACTGGTTAAAACTTGTAGCTATCACCTTTAAGGACATGTTCGTAGGGACAAACTGGGTGAAAGTTACTGTATCCCTCAAAGTGCTTTGGTATCTCTCCATACAGAACCTCTAAACACATGATACAATCAACATTCAGCCATTCTCGGTTGATGAAACCATGCATGAACAGCACAACAGTAAACACGTCTGTACGCCTGATGCATGCTGTTATTTTTTTCCACTCTTTATTCAGTCAAAGCAAGTGCTGGATGACTTTCCCGACGATGAAAGATGCAGCACAAGATAGGACCAGTCTCCTCTCATGTTCTCGTTGACCTGAGTTAACAAGATGCATCAGCCCAAACACTCAGACAGAGATGCCAACTTACTATGGTATGGACTGATGGAATTAATGTGGGCAACTAAAAACAAAGACAGTTCATAGATACGAATTATAGTATGTAATGTGTGCTTGAAAGGTCGTCATCAGAATCAAAAGAGAGTTTGTTAAATTCCTGTTAAAAAAATGTAAAAGTAACCCATCTGTGCGTACAGACTGGTCTTCGTTAATCGGGTCCTGGACGCTGCCAGTGGTCTGCGGCACCCAGGGGGGGTCGAAGATGGGGACGCAGGGCATGCCAAGGATTGGAGACGGCAGAGTGAAGTTGATGCTTGGTGGAGGGATCTGATAGAAACAGCACAGAAGTGGTCAGAAAGATTGGTTATCACATCAATGCCTTTTGCACCATTGGTTTACATTTTCATCACTGCTGCACTTTATAAATAGAAATGTTCCTCTTCACTGCTAAGCTGCTGCTCATTCACTGTCGAAAAGCTGCACGTAAAGGAATTTCGTTTTGTGTACACTCTGGGTACTCCATACTTTGAAGATCTGCTGGGCTCCCTCCTCCATCCGAGGCCACACCTGATAGCGGAAACGCCACAGTGTGTAGAACTTTAGGACGGAGTTGATGCGCTGACAGGCCTCCTGGTGTTGGAACTCCGCCATCATCATTTCGGTCACTGCGTCGGGGACCTTGACGGCGCAGAGGAGGAACATGGCGGCTGAAGGAGCGTGAAAAGGGTAAATGTTAGTATTTGTATGAGCTGAAGGGCAAAGTTTTCGCTCCAGAGTGTCGACTAACCAGCTGCAGCCGCCATATGCTCGTCAACGCTAAGCAGCAGCTCCCAGGCGGCGGGCTGAATGTCTCCATACATGTCATCAGTGAGAATCGGGGCAGCCTTTATCAGCAGTGAAAGAGGAGCTGGGGACAAACTCATCACCTGAAAAGAATCACGGATGATTTGTTTTACTTCTTTTACTTGATTTTATTGTTGTAATTGTTATAAAATAAAATTTTGATTGAGTTGAAACTACTTGAGAAAGCCAGCTAACCTGGTTGCGGATGTACTTGAGCATGCCGGTGTCCTTCTTCCCTTCTGCGTTGGAGTCGGTAGGTTTCCTCTTCATGGAGGGAGTCCTCAGGCAGGATTTATCTGAACACTACATGGAAAATCACACTTTTTAGAAAGCCCACGCCGTACTCTAACCTTCAATAGCTCTTGCTTTTTACCTCCTTGTTCTTCTTTGCGCGTCCACCAGGGGCACCAGAGGCACTGTCCTCTCTCAGGCTGTCCACCGTCTCACCGTAAACGAGCTTGATGGCGCGGACAAGACGGGCACAGGAGCGGCCGTGATGCTGGTAGCAACGTGGGTGACAGAAGTCTACGTGTGTGCAGATGAAACTCTGCTGGTTACACAGCAGAATCATTATCTGTAAGGAAACAGAGACGGACGACAGGGAGGGAGTCAGATACAGAGTGAATTTGGTTCCTTTATTTTGCAAGGAACATGCTTTGTAAATGGAAATAAAAGAGAAAGAAACATAAATCAGGAAATTAAACACTGAAAATTTTAATCAAATCGATAGTCACTTTGCTATTTTCCTTAATTTTATATATATAAAAAAAGAAACACTGAAAAAATAAAATCTAAGAAAACAGCCAATTTAGTCTCATTAAGCTTTTTTTTGGACTGAATATTTTTTTCTTAAATTCACATTAAGAAAACATGTTCTTTACAACAATAATGGAACAAAGTTCACTCCATAGAAGACAGACAGTAGGACCAACAGCTGAGGTTGATGGACATACATGGAGCCAGGACATGTTGCGATGGTAGTTGTCTTCAGCTCCTCCTGAGCCCTGGCCCTCAGGCTCAATGCTGGGTTCACTGGTGCTGAAGGGACTTCCTGCAACATTAAACATGAAGACTCATTAAAAATGGAAGAAAACTGCCATACACTGTATAAAATTAAATAAAAACACTACAACGCTGATATCAAGAAAAGATATCACATAAAAAGTTAATTTTATCTAAACTATCAGATAGAAATACTGAAAATAATTTTATCATTTGTTGAATCAGAAGAAAAACTGGCAGCAGGAGAATACGTCAAAAATGCAAACAAAGTAGATAAGATGCTAACGCCTATTACTTGAAACAGAAAATGGGGTAAAAAAGGGAAAAAATAATAAAAAAAAAACTGAGAGAACGGCAAACTTACCCTTAAAAACCCTTTTAGAGTAAATATTTTTTTTCAAATTTTCATAACTGGACTGAATTTTTTTTTTCAAATTTGCATTTTAAATACATCTTTGGTTGCAAATTCACTACACACATGTTTACAAATACACTTTCTGCAGCTGTTTTGCTCTTTAAATTCAGCATATCTTCATTTTTTCAGTTTAACTTTGGGAACTTTCAGTGTAACCGGTTGCATTGAAATTCAATTTAAATCAATTCAGTTTATTTCTATAGTGCCAATTCACAACACATGTCATCGCAAGGCACTTAAAAGTTCACCAGATCATACAATCAAATTGATTCTATCTAAGGAAAACCAGTTGATTGCATCGACTCATTGACTCGAATGCACTCCCTCACACTAAGCATGCTTGTAGCGACAGTGGAGAGGAAAAACTCCCTTTTAACAGGAAGAAACCTCCAGCAGAACCAGGCTCAGTGTGAGCGGCCATCTGCTGAGGCCGACTGGGGTTCAAGGAGACAGAAGCAGAGATACAATGTGCTGGACAGAACCCAGGGGAAGGGAACCCAAATGTCTATCAAAAGGTCGACATTAAAAATGATTATTTTAGTCTAGCCTAGACAGCCCTGACTAAATCTTTGAGTATATGAATCAACTTCTATGAATTAATTAGACTTGATTTAGAATTGGAAAGTCTTTTTTTTACACCATATTATGTTGAATAAGTGAACATTATATCCGATTGTATATATTAATCCACAAAAAATACCAACATCAAACAGTGTAAAGTACATATTTTACTTAACTAATTTAAGTTGCTTCTTCTATGGTGTAAATTAGAAGAAAACACATTTCAAAGTGTTTTCCCCTCTTTGCTTTAACCTCTAAAAACCTTTGAAGTGTGACATCAGACAGCAGCTTTGTACAAGTCTTCAAGCTGAGCCTGGTGTTTCATCTCAACCTCACCGATGTCAGTGACGGTGTCCCTGCTCTGCGTTTGTGACAGCAGCCCTTCTTCGTTCTCCGACTCGGAGTCCTGCCGAGACAGCTTGGTGCTCTTCAGGCTCCCCGCACGGCGGATCGAAGAGAGGGACCCCCCCTTTTTCACACGGAAACTGCGGGCCCCTTTGATCTGAAGCAACCGAGCGCCTCCGATTCGAATCTTCCTGACAGGTGCTGGGAAGCGACAGGAGTAACAGAGATTACCTACCATCAAAAGGAAGCAGTTCGATAAAACCAGGGCTGCTGTAGTCTCACCCTGAGGCTCCTGGGTCTTCTTCTCCTCTCCCGTCGTGTCAGACTTCAGAGTGTGGCTGCTGCTGTTGAGAGAGTCATGCCCATCTTCATCATCCAGGATTCCCGCAAAGCTGATCTTCCTCTCGTAGCGATGGCGGCCCAGCTCCGGGTCCAGACGCAGACGGCAGCTGTCCAGGTCCTTCATCAAACACATTAATGTCGCTCAGTTGTGTTGATATGACAGCATGGAGTGAATGTTTCTCCATTATTGTTGCAGGGGATTCAAAAATGAAGATTTTAAAAACTTCTTGACTGAAAAACATTTGGACTAACTTTGCTGACTTCAGATTTTATTTTTTCAGATGATTACTATTTTTCTTTTTAATTATTTGTCACATTTTTTTTATTTTCAAGCAATTATTTTGAAATATTTCCTATTTTCCTAATTATTATTCATTTTGTTTTTGCAAAATTCAAATTATTTGAGTGTAAAATGTAAGAATTTGTATCAAAAGAGAGTGCTTGAAATAAAGAAAACCTTTAATCTGAAGGAGAAAAATTTGAAAATATAAAATCTAAAAAAAGAAAAATTTTATTTTGAAAAAGAAAATTATTTGAAAACAACAAATAAAAAAAATCAACAGAAAAACAAAGTTATTCTCAAAAAGTTTTTTTTATTATGATTTTTTAAGATTTTTTTTAAGTTTCATTGCTTAAAATTCCAATTTTTTAAATAAAAATCGTTTTCTAAAATATGGAAATTATCATTTAAAAATGCGTATTTCTTTTTTTAACTTTCCATTAACAAAATATTTATTCTTTCTAAATTATTTTTCAAGAAAAGCATATATTTTTTATTTCCATTTACAAAACATTTTTTTGCAACAATGATGTAACAAAATTCACACCATACACAGGCTTCTCCTTTAGAACATTAAAAGAATTACCGCAAGCTGCTCGGTTCGAGGGCGGGGTAGGCAGGGGAACGTCTCTCGCAGGAAGGTGGTGATTTCCAACAACAACTGACAGGCGGCCATCTTTAGAGCAAAAGGGCAGCCGCATTTTGTGGGATTAACCGTGTCTGTGGATAAAAAAATTATTTTAAACTTACAAACAATAAAATGTGCATTATAAGTTAATTCAGAAATGTTGAATTTAAAATAAAGCTAATTTTTCAGAGTATAACACAGACAATGTTTTCCAGAAAGTAGTCTTTGCAAGTATACTCAAAGTATTCAAATTAAAACTGAACAAAGAAGTATACTTTCAGTTTACCTTTTGTGTACTTATCAATGATATACCCAAGTTAATGTTCTTGATACATGGCTTATGGTAAAAGTCTATGCATATACAAAGTACCTCGTGCTTTAATTACTTTGATTTCTAGAGTGCATTTTTTTTTTCCAAATTTTATTTTACCATTTTTTCCCCATTTCCATGTGCAAGACTTGTTATCCACTTGCAACAATAATGAAACAAAATTTACTCCATACATAGTCAAAAGTATGGAAGGAATCTTCAAACATCAATTTGTATCTTCAAGCAATAATTTGTAAGCCCTTTAAACTTATTCTCAGATAAATTAAGGTATGCATTTAGAATAGGCCGTATTATGTCCATACTTTGACTAGGCTTTACTAGGTCTTTAATTTGACTAGGCTGTACTAGGTTTGTACTTTGACTAGGCCATACTGGGTCTTTCCTCTCACTAGGTGGTACTATGACCGTATGTTGACTAGGCCTTACTAGGTCTGTACTTTGACTAGGTTGTACTAGGCCGTACTTTGACTAGGTTGTACTAGGCCATACTTTGACTAGGTTGTACTAGTCTGTACTTTGACTAAGTTGTACTAGGTCTTTGACTAGGCCATATTAAGTCCCTACTTTAAATAAGCTGTACTCGGTCCATATGTTGACTAGACCTTGCTAGGTATGCACTTTAACTAGGCCTTACTAGGTCTGTAATTTGACTACAGTAGGCCTTAATAGGTCCATATGTTGACTAGGCCTTACTAGGTCTGTTCTTTGACTAGGATGTACTAGGTCTGTACTTTGACCAGGGCGTACTAGGTCTGTACTTTAACAAAACTGTACTAGGTCTACACTTTTACAAGGCCATACTAGGTCTGTACNGTCTGTACTTTGACCAGGGCGTACTAGGTCTGTACTTTAACAAAACTGTACTAGGTCTACACTTTTACAAGGCCATACTAGGTCTGTACTTTGACTAGGCCATACTAGGTCTGTACTGGTCCATACTTTGACTAGGTCGTACTAGGTCTTTACTTTGACTAGGCTGTACTAGGTCCTTAATTTGACTAGGCCATACTAGGTCTGTACTGGTCCGTACTTTGACTTGGCCATACTAGCTTTGTACTTTGACTAGGCCGTATTAGGTTTGTACTTAGAAAGTGTTCTGATGTTCCTTACTGTCCTCCAGATAATCCTCTTCCTCATCTTCTTTTCTCATTCTGCGCTTAGTCTCTTCGTCATAAATATAACCCAGAATGTTGGCGGGACTCTCGCTGTCCGAGTGACAGAGCTCACTGAGCCTTGTGCCGATAGCCTAAGAAGATAAAACACAGAAACTGTGATCGAAGGCTCATTTCCCATTGTCACCAGGACCATTCCATGTACGTTAAACTCACATCTCCCCACTGGCAGAAATGTTTGGCAGCGTTCCACTGGAGCTTCTGGTTTCTTTTGTTGCCCACTATTGGCGACCGACCCCTGGATAGGCCCTTTTTGGTGATGTTAACATGGTGGCCCTTCATCCACTCTGGCCAGTTCCCACGGTTACAACGGTGGACGAATCTGGCACATTCTAGGAAAAGGGAAGCACGGGCCACAACTGGAGCCTCCTAAAATGAGAAAATAAGTAAAAAAAAAAGTATGAACAGATTGATTTTGACATTTAACACTACATTCAGAGTAAGGAGTACCAAATCTAAAGCGGCAGCAAGGATGGAGGCATCGGGAATGGTTCCTGGCTCACAGCAGTTTAGGAGAAACTGGAAGCGCTTCATTCCCTGCCGGATCGCGCCCAGATTCACCACGTTCTTGTTTTTCATGGCCTCTTGACTAGCTGCTAAACGCTCCTGAAAACCATGAGGTCCTGGAGAACGAGATACAGATGAAAGGCGGTACAAAAGAGCAGGTGATAAGAACTTTATCAGAGGAAAAACTTCAGTGAGGATTTCAAGTTGTATAAGGCAAGATGGCTTTCTGTTACATTTAACAATTATTAATGGAAAAATGAGTGAGAGATGATACAGCCACATGCTGAGCTTACACTTGAATAATGTATTTCTTTTCTTTTTTACTGTGGGTAAGTAGGGCTGCCAAAGGATGCTCAGTGATACTTTTGTTTAAATAGCATCCAAAGAAAATGACAAGTGTGAGCACAGCTTTACGGAGATCAAGCTGTATGCAGACGATACCGTCTTTTCTTAGGCACTGGAAAATACCACCACCACATCACCACAGAAGAGACAGAGGGAGCACCAACAGCATCATGCTTGAACTGGCATGGAAATATGCTCAGCAGCAGAAAGATGGTCTTCAAGAGATGAGGTATTTAGAAACAATTCCGGGGTTTCAAGAACATCTGGTGCGTCCTTTTGATAAAAAAAGGGGCATGCAGAACAACACAAGAACTTATTAAAATAATGTCTGGTTATTTTGAGCTTTTTAAGATATGACTCCCACAGAAAGGTCCAAAAGGGGAAAAAATACAAAATGGAAATATTTTCAGCAATAGGTTTGACTTTTTTGAAAAATATAAGTTTAAACATGTATTTTCTGCATCTATTGCTTGATTAGTACACTTGTGTGTCGGAAACAATTAATTATATTATCCTTGATGATGTACATCTAGATTTGCATGCAATCGACTCACAACACGTTTTCGCCTTTGCAGCATTATGGATTATGAAGTCAGTTTTCTGCCAAACGTGCACGCGCATAATAAATACTCATATGATCTGTTTTATTTAAAATACACGCATGTAAGCTTCTCTCCACTCGCATTTTGAATTTTTTTATGCATGCAGATTTAATACCATGGTCCCAGTCTTTTCTTTTGAGTTTTCAGCTTCCCTTTGATATATGTTTTTTTTTGTTTTCTAGTTTTAATTCCTATTTTGTGGTGTTTTCTGGAAATATTTAAATTCTCAGGTTTTTCTTGGTTGCCCTCTTGTGTTGTTCTCCTTTTCTCTAGCTCCTTTCTAGAAGTCTCTGTTCACACCTGCTCCCAATCAGCTCATTAGTCTCGTCTTTGTTTAGTCTCCTATATATACTCTCCCTGTGCAGTTCCTCAGTGCTGGTTCCTCGTGTTTTTTTTGGCTTCCCATGTAAGTTTTCCCATGTTGTCTGGTTTTTTGTTTTTTTTTTCAGGCTACTTTTCTTGCTTTTTATTCACCCAGAAATTCTCTCCTACTCAATTGTGCTCTCATGTCAGCTTTGCCACTTTTTCTTGAGTTTTTACAGCACTAGTGGTTCATTTTTCTGACAATAGGCTGGCAGGAAAGGGGGTATGAGAGACATGAGGTGGAGAGACATGCAGTCAAAGAACTCTGTTGAGCCATGCCAAGGACTAAGGCCTCTGTACATGGGTCATGCGCACTAACCTCTGCGCTACCCACACGCCAGCTTCTGTCACTTTGAGGATGGCGTCAACCTCACAAAGTAAACTGCCTGAGATTGGCTACACTTCAGGGAGATAATATATTTGATCATAATATACCAGAATAAGTAACAGACCTCAGTAACCACCAAGACACACCTCGATTAATCAGCTTGTACAGTATGGAAGGAAAGATAAAGAGCTGCCTGAATATCAGGAAGTAGCTGTGCATAGTGGGAGAAATGAATCTACTTCTTTGAGATGCGGAGGCCCCTGATGCGATCAATTGACAGTAATACACATATATCATCCTTTACCCGGAGCTTTGACCATTACCGGTACTTGTTTTTGCTAAATGTTACCCAATTCTCATGATAGGTATGTAGATGTGAACAGAATGTGTTGTGCTGTTTTGAGGAGGCAGGAGAACAGTCTCCGCAGACAGCTCAAGACATAGGTTAAATGTTTATATTATACTCTTTCTTTTCCCTCTTAGAGGACAGCAGAGCTCTTTAGGCCCCATAAAATTGAAAAGCCCTGATAACCCATCCACTCCCACCCCTTTCCTCCAACCCAGACACACAATCCTAGTTTTCTATTAATAAAACTATTGATTTATTCATTTTACTTAAGTTTATGAAATACTAACAGTGGAGAGAGGCACGTTCCTGGCTTTTATACTTGATTTTTGTTGTTTAAATATGAATACTGTAAATATTTAAAAATGAATGCAACCATTACTGTTCCAGTTTCTTAATTTCTTCTTGGTGAGATGTATTTCTTTTTATCTACAGGCTGGAAATGCCCCAAGATATGATTTCAGAAATCTGGTCACCTTATTCAAGTAAACAGTAGTTTACATGTCTATTTTTTTTTTTATAAAATTGCTTTATGAGTAATATGTGTGTGCACTTTTGGTACAATTCTTACTTCATAGTCACCTTATCCTCTACACTTGTCCCGTGTTAAATAAATACAAGTGAGGGTCATGGGGTCACTAGAGAGTCCACAAATAAACCTACAGGGCAGTGATTCCAAGGCGTACCTTTAGTGATCCGCGAGTGCATTGCAAGGGGTGCATGAAAATATTTTATTTCTTAGGTAGGAAAATTAAACAAGCTTTTATCAACCGAAAAGTAGGTTTTTCTTATGTTTGAGTTCACCTACAGCTTTGATAAACATAACTAAGCAGAGGAACATACTGGATGTAGAGAACATGTTAACGAAGCAAAGTTAGATGACTTGATGAAAACATAGTAAAACTAATTAAGTCAGTCGGATGATAATGAGCTTTTCTATTTTTTGTTCCAAATTCATAACAAGTGAGTTTAAATATGATTATAAGGGAGTTACAGTTTTATAGATACAGGTTTTAATTAAATTTTTTTATATATTTCATCTCCTTACTAACGTTCAGGCAACATATTTATGTTGCTTTTTATGTGAGATGCAAATCAAAAAATGCCTAAGTATTAAATGCAAAAATAAAATGTTAATTAAAATAGTTTTAATTTTATAATCAGGTATTGTACGCTCCACTTTTGGACAATCAGTCCTTTTGACTGAGAGGGGTACTAATGGTATGAAAAAATGAACGAAGGGGTACACAAGGCAAAAAATGTTGAGAAACACTGCTATAGGGGGCCAGTTAAAATCCCGTTTCACTTTAACTGTGTAATAGCCCACTTACTGTGGCCCAAAGTGTGCAGATTTATATTTTCAATAGATCTTATAAAGGTAAGTTGCATCTGATGACCCACACAGTGGAATCAGATTTTGGTTAAAAAGGGGAATCATTGCATTGTTGTTCTAAACTTTCTGAAAACTTCTTGTAGCGAGACCTTATAGTGATACTGTATGATCAAAAAGACTATGATGATGAGAGGACTAATTCAGCAGCTGGAGGCTATCCAGCAGACATGGGAAGACGGAGGATCTGGTGAAAAATAGAACAGACCACCATGACTCAGCAAAGACAGGACAAGACACGACAGCACTCGGACAAAACGGAGATGGGCGGGACAGAAGGAAAGAAAAGAGACGAAAGCAGGATGGATTGTGGGACATCCCAGGGTGGGGGAGGTCTACCATCTTTCTCTTCTGTGTGGTGAAGCTTGGATGGATTCCTCCTGCCAGACCTCCATTTACCGAGCCGCTTGAAGAAATTCTCCTCCTCGTCCCTGCCGTACTCCGGCCCCGCAGCGCCCCCTTCAGACAGCTTCACTGCACTTGTGAACTTCACCTGATACAGCAACATAAAAATATAAATCTGCATTGTAAAGCCAGATTATGTCTGATTGGTCATGTTTCGCTTATCAGAGAGCGATAAATCATTTGTATGGAGTGAATTTTTGTTCAAGTGGTCAATGGAAAAAAAAATGCCAACCAGAATTGCATCTTTAAATCTAATTATTTTATCGTATTTATTTTCTAATTTAATTAAATATAAAAAAATGTATTAAAATTTTTCAAAAATATTTCATTTCCATATTTTCTATTTTTTTATTCTAATTTCTGTTTTTCAAATGGAGTTATACAGATAATTTTCTTTACACTACTAGGACAGGCTTGGCCTTATTGAACTTAGCAACAACATTTTTATTGGTGAAGAGCAAGTGTTTCTATTCGGCTTGAAGTTAAAAGAAGGTGATATAATGCATTTTGAAAAGAATGTAATACGTAAACTGAAATTAAATTTTTTTCAAACTTATACAATTTGTCAATTGCTTATAAAAAAAATCAAGCATTTTAATTGTAAAATCTTTACATGTTTATCAACTCCTCAAAAAACATGAAAATATGTAATTCGTTAAAAAAAAAAATATATCTGAGAAAATAGCAAACCTATTCTCAAAATTTACAAGCAATGCAACAATAATTGGACATAATTTACCCCATACCGCTGAGCTTTCTTACAAAGCTCCCATAGTATGATTACAGGTTTTGGACAAAATTATGACCACAAATCTACAAAAAATATAAGACACAGGAACAGGATCTTTATATCTGAAGTTACAGATAAGGCTGTTGCTCCTGCTGACCTTTGAGCTCTGTCTTATGAAGGACAGGCGATCCACTGAGCTGATGTCCAGCAGGTCCTCCACCCCATCGGTCAGGCCAGACAGGGAGGAGCGCTTTAGCCAGTTCCCTGAAGAAATCCAGAAAACAAACATCTGATACAGCTAACGAAGACATTGAACTTTGAATTCATCAACTGCTTTTAAGGTAAAACAGAAATATAAGCATGCGGGGTCAAACTGAAAGGAAACAGAATAACACATAAGGATACTTCAGGTTCCTTTTGGAAAATACATTTTAAAACATGGATCAGATATTTGTCAAATTTAAGTGGTGTTCCGCAGGGTTCTCCCCTTAGCCTCTTTACTTTTTATCATCTATTTTCCCTACTTGAATGTGACATACATGTAACCATTTAGACTGAGAACAACACAGTAAAGTACCTGAATAAGTATGTAGTTATTTCTGAAACTATACAGTAAATCTCAAAGGTCATAAAACTAAGAGAAGATTGCTAATTATAAAAATAGAGAAGCTTTTAATGCTCCAACATTTAAACTGATTAACAATATCTTGATAGCGGTGGCAGTTTGGGATCCATCAGTAAAATGAAGGGTTTACAAGACACACAATAGAAGATTTTCCATTTAATTCAAAAATTGTGAATTGCAAATTTGACAATTATAAGTGGTGTTCTACAGGGTTCACCCCTCAGCCCACTAAAATTAGGTAAGGTACCACTGTTATGAAACGTGGAAAGCCACAAGAGGCAACAGAACTGCTTGGATGTGCCTAGTTACCTGAACAAACAAATTAGTCGGGTAAACATTTTCATTACTTAGCAAACTGATAATATATATATATAGATATATATATCTATATATATGTCTATTTTAATGCTCAAAAGACACTTCTTTTCCAGCTTTATGGCATTTTTTGAAGTATAGCATGGGATCATATGGTCATAAAACAAATGATTGACAAACTAAAAGGTAGGTTTAGTCATGCGGAACATGTATAGATAAATAAAAAGAAAAAAATGAGCTAAGAAAATGGATGTTTTATATTTTTACAAAGTTGATTCCAAACTGGAGCAGCGTGCACACATGGGGTACACATGACAAAGACAAGCAGACATGATAAAAAGAAGATATGAGGATGGATCCATGTCCACATACGTAAAACAGAGCGAGTGATTGGAAGGCGGGCGGTCCTACGGCATGCTAAGGCACACAAAGGGACAGACAGAGGATTGAAGAGATGTAATGATCCGACCTTTCGGGATGACGGGATGTTGGACAAACAGTACAGATATCAAACATATGGTCATGGGAGAGCAAACTGCTGCTGAAATCAAGAAAACTTGGTCATTTGCTTTAAGATAAAACAAAAAACCTTTGTTTTAAACTAGACTATCAGAGAATGTTGGACTTGCCTATGGGGAGTTTGAGTTTCTTGCGGAGCGAAATGCGTCGGGATCTGGAACGAGAACGGCGGTCGGTGGTGGTGCCAGAATGCGCCGTGGTGCATTCCGAAGTGTCCTGCTCTGACTGGCTGCTGGTGTCGCTGGCGGCACTCTGGGACTTGAACATCTTCCTCCAGAAGTCCTTCCTGCCAAGGAGGGCGCCCGGGATCTGTTCGTCACTAGCCGCACGTAGAGGAGAGGAAGCAAGGCAGGTTTTGAAAATTTGTTCAACAAATGTATGGAGGGAAATTTGTTGGGTTATTATTGCTAGCAAAGAACAGGTTTTGTGATTGGAAATAAAAAAAAAAAAAAAAAAA